TCAGTATCCTCTCCCATGCTTTCACTCTCACCTTCCATCTTGTCATGGCTGTTCAGTGTTCAGGCGGCACGCTAATCTTCCTACTAGCTCTAGCTTAGCTAGCTGCCAGAAGACAAGTAGGGGTCTAGGGGAGGGGTGATTTGTCTTCAGAGTGGGAAGGAGGAGGGGCCGTGGGAAGTTCAGCACAGACACAGAATTGGCGGATCTAAAATAATAATTAAAATGCAACGTAGAGCATCTCGATATAAACGATATAGGCTCGTCTTGTATCTCTTTTGAAAAAAATCTCGATATTTTTAAAATCTCGAGATATCGCCCAGCCCTAATAAGCGGCCATTTTGAGTACATCAAAGAGTTCTCACCGAACTCAAACAACAGAAGGTCTCTGTCGCATCCTGTCGTTATCTTACCAGTCGTAGATAGTAAACAATGGTTTTGGAGGTAAATGAATCAAGTCACTCTTGTCTCAGTAGGCATGAGACAGAATAATGCTTAGAGGCCACAGTCTTGAGGTAAACACAGTTTGGATTTGACATTCCAATCCAAGTTATTGCTACACATTACATAAATTAAATTAGTGATAATCTTAAATTTAATCTGCCGACTGTTAGAAATCACCAGACAGGGAGGATGAGGTGAAGCAGTGACTGATCTGTGAGTCAAACACAGCTGGGTCCAGAGATTTATTTTACAGAGACAGTACCAGAGAAAAACCATTACAGTAAATATTATATTCCAGTTTAGAAACAAGGCAAGAGCAGCTGCAGCTTTGCACATGCAAGATTCATTTGCAGCAGTCTCCTCTCAGCTGACTCCAGCCGGGTTGTGGGTGGGGGGAGTGGTGCTGCACGAGGCTTCAGTGAGTTGGACCGCTTTAGGAAGGGGAAGGGGCTCACCGCACCGCTCGCTGCTCATGGAGGAATGGAGGAGGAAAGTGATGTCATCAAAGCTTCTAAAAGTCTCCAAAAACACTGGGAAAAGTCGCCAGATTTGTCACTAGTCGCTTTTTGGAGAAAAAGGTCTCTAGAGGGGTCTAAAAATCTGCTCCGCTCGGCTCACTCCCAAGTCATATGACCAGTCAAATCACAGCCTGTGCGGTTAGAAAATCACGTTTTAACATATCGATAGATTATCGCAAATGCGATTAATCGTTCAGCCCTAACTGAGACGGACGTCAGCTCGAGCGACTGCAGGATTAATCAACAGATTTATCACAGAGGGAATATTAAAGACGGCACAAAACAGCAGCTTTGAAGTTATTTTAGAAAATACTGAACAACAGGATCGCTAAGAAAGTTCATTTTGTTTGTTTTTGTTTGATATGAGACAAACGTCCGTCACACTATAAAAACTATAAGTGGCTAAAATTTTCTAACTACTTTCACAGAACCTTTGACTCCTCCTGCAAAACCAAACTATGTTTTCAGATCAGACCTCGAGTCCATCAAATAGAAAACACTACAGAGCAGTCAGTATACTCAGCATGATAAAAAAAAAAGTAATGCGCACAACTCTAATACAAGAAAGGAGAGAATAAATGGGTGCCTGGTTCTGAGGAATCACAAAAATGGGATAACCAGCACTCCAAAAAATATCAAGTGTTGGTTATATCATTTTTTTAGTACACTCAGCATGGAAAAAAAGAAAACATGATCCATTCATGACGCTTTTAAAATAATCGTTATTGTCCTCAAAGGAAAAGCTCCTGTTTAGTACTTGTAGTAAAAAAAGTAAACATTATATCTCTAATTCACAGAAAACTTGTCTCACTCTTCTCTTCCTACAACTAGCTTCAATGACCAGGCTCTTTGAACTGCCTTGTATTGGTTTGTTCACATCATTACGCTGTGTTCACACTGAACACGATTTGAGCGTCGAGCGCTGGAGTTAAAAAATCTGAACTTTTGCAGCTCAACGCAGCCCATCAACCAATCAGAAAGACTCCACTGTGTGACGTAGTGACAGATTTTACGACAGGACGGTTTCCTGAATGATGTCCACTAAAAAGGAAAAAATTGTGTAGGTCTTCTGGACGGGTTCTTCTCTAATGAAACGTTTCGTCTCTCCTCCAAGAGACTTCTTCAGTCTGAGAGTTTCAGGCAAAATTCAAGCACCACAAACACACTGCACAAAATCCCAACACAGATGAGCTACATCTAATGGCCAGAACTCTGCAGTTTTCACTCATTTACAG